GTGCATTAATACCATAGTTATATTACAAATATTTTCACTTTTATTTCGCTCAATCATCAATTCGTTGTTGTTTCATTTGTCAATTAAATATTTGCTATTGTCAGTATCTATAGCTTATGTAATACAAATTAATTGCAAATTTTGCAAAATACGTTTTCTTCTTCTTTTCATTATACATTTCATTATATTTTGTATACATTATCATGACGGTATATATATTAATACCAATCGTCATTATACAATTTCACATGAAATCCCTTATGATCGGTTAGAAAGGTTAGCTAACCTAAACGATTACATTACAATGCATGGGTGAATAATTCTTAGAACTAAGCTACTTTTTCTTCATTCATTCATATCCATTCACTAACATAGTTTCCTTTAAGATAAACAGTTTGACGCGATTTGTCAAGATACTCAAAATACGCAAGTAGCTAAACCTGGGTACAAGGTCTAGAAAAGATGATTCATAAAGTAATAATTAGTCCTAAAAATATCGGTAATTTTTTGTCCAACTGTGTATGTGACGATGATACCCGTTCAGAGGCGGGCAACTCTGTTTATATATTATTGTCTTCCGATATCTTTCGGATATCATTTCTCAAGTATTGAGAATAATTTTCGGATGTTTTTTTTTTTTTTTTTTTTTTTTTTTTTAATAATCTCTGATGTAATCAACTCTTTTGCACGCCCACCGCATCCAGCTTTATCCGATTTCCATATGAGCGCGTTTATGATCAAAAAATCATTGACAAATTACTATTTTTTTTTTTTTTTAACGGAGAAAATTCACTTAACACTTTCCGGTATTATGTTTCTATGAAAATGCAAATTTGAATTTTTTTCCATTGTTTTGAATAGAACTAAAGCACCGTAACTCGGTAAACAATTGAAATGATTGAATTGTATGGCGGGCATTATTTGAGAAACGCTACTTTTCTAAAAATAATTTTTAGGTTTTTATTAGAGCAGATACCTAAATGTCAATTAGATCCGGAAATTATTGATCACAAAAAAAGAAACACAGAAACTCCTTCTTACAGAGATGCCAAACCGTACGAGTACCCCCTTAACTGAAGAATAGGGGGAATATTTATTTTGTCCTAAGGAAGGAATCTTGTTAGAAGGAAGCTTCGAAGACCCTACAAAGTATACATATTTATATATCTTCTTGATCAGTAATAACGTCCGTCTGTCCGTCTGTGTAATATCTGTTAGCCGCACTATTAATTTTGAAATGTGACAGAAACGTAGAAAGTTCTGGCACGCAGCTTGGTATTGAAAATGGTCAATCAGTCGAAGGACAGCAACCCACAGGCATCACCTACATCGAGAATATCTCTGTTTTTCAAAAGGAATAAAAAATTGAAATTTGAAAGCATATTCTATGGGCGATGCTGTAGTATTTACGCATAAAAATAGGAAAAATTAACCACTTCCATTACCCAATTGTATAGTGTAGCGAAATTTAATTTTTTGTTTCAATACCAATTATAATGCACAGCAACAAGCTTCAAAAATTCCATGAAATATATAAATTCTTGGGCAATTTTAAATTTGATATGCGCCTAAACATGTCCGCTTGTTCATCTGTCCATTTGTCCGGCTGCGCGCAATAGCGTGGTATTTGTGGTAAACATGCTTCCATTAGCGAAACTCAAGATGTCGGCTACAAGTTTCCAAAAGGATTTAAAAATGACTTGAACTTTTCCAAGTTCACGCCTACAACGCCCATCCGCCTATGCGACAAAAACTTTTATTTTGAACATGGAAAAACTCAATTCCACTCCCATTTCGTATTATAGAGGACGCAAATTTTACGCGATTTTAGGACATCGGCGATGGGTATAAAAGATTCGATCACGACCAAATATAAGTTTCTTACTTGTTGTATTTCATTTGCATTAGCATAAGACATAGTAGTATAAAATAAAGTGTTTTTTTTTTTCTTATTTTAAGGCGAATTAAATTTTTGAAATATGATTTCCGAAATTAGAATTAAATAAATCAATCGTGAATGGCGCCAGATCAACCATGCCCACAATCGGTAAATCTGCCTATATGTGTATGTGTGTGTGTGTGTGTGTGTTTGTGTGTGTGTGTATCTATATGTGTGTGTTTGTTTGTATGCTTGGGTAACTGACACTCTCTCCCATATATAGTTTCCCATTTAGTGCGGTCTATCTAGAGTCTAAAGTCAATGAAATATAAACTACGAGACAATGTAACATTTAAGCTGGTTGTTTTGATTGTCTCTTATTGTATTGATATTGTATTTTATCGTTTGTATGTATGTCAAAATTGACGCTCTTCGCTCAGTTTTCAATTTCAATATTTAGTTCATACTAACAAAACTAAATCAAATCTCTCTTTGGATGTAAAATTAAAATATAATGTTATTGTTATTGTTGTCGCCGCATACGCGTATGTTACATTTAACGGATTGATATTAAATACATAAGTCTAATATGCATGTGTATACACGAATTAAGTGAATTCTTTGGCGTGATGGTGCCGTTGTTGTCGATAATGTTGTTGACGGCAATTTCGGTGTTGTTGCAATTAATACAACGATGAAAGTCAAGAGAAACATTAGCCTAAAGCTAATATATCGGGCCGAGTATGTAGGTCTACATGTGTATCTAAAAATAAATAACTCGTTTTGGTTTTTAATTTACGCTTTTTTTTTTGTGTTTTTTTTTATTTTTTTATTTTTTTTTCAATTTTTTTTCTCTATATCTCTAATACAATTGATATTCTATTATTCCGACATTATGTCTAAATCTTCACCGTTACGTGTGTGTGTGTATGTGTGTGTGTGTGTGTGTGTGTGTGTGTGTGTGTGTGTGTGTGTGTGTGTGTGCATAAGGTTGGGGGGCGGAGGAGAAGCTTGTGCTTGAAGCAAACTGGCATTTTGCTCTTTTCGTCAATTTTGAAATTTAATTAAAACGTCATTTTATTTCACCGATTCCGTAAATCTTCTTCTTCCCTTAGCGAACGGGATAAAACCGCTTATTTCCGTGGTTGAAACTTTTCCCTGATCGGCTTAGTCTACTAAAACGTCATTTTATTTCACCGATTCCGTAAATCTTCTTCTTCCCTTAGCGAACGGGATAAAACCCGTTTATTTCCGCGGTTGAAATTTTTTCCTGATCAGTTTAGCCTACTAAGACGCCATTCTATTTGACCGATTACGTAAATCTTCTTCTTCCCTTAGCGAACGGGATAAAAGCGCTTATTTCCGTGGTTGAAATTTGTCCCTGATCAGCTTAGCCTACTAAGACGCCATTCTATTTTACCGATTACATAAATCTTCTTCTTCCCTTAGCGAAAGGGATAAAGGCGCTTATTTCCGTGGTTGGAACTTTCCCGTGATCGGCTTAATCAGATAAGCTATAGTATTGTTCTGCTGAAAGATGCTCCTCTCTCTCTCTCGTTTTTTCGTAATTTGATGAAATCGCACGTTGTACATAAATAAATATTCAGTCTTGCTTCGTTTGAATGAATATTGGATTTAGGCAAAATTTCTCATTGCTCTTAAGAGTATCGTGAAAGATTCCAGATTAAAATTTCTCAATTGATATTTTCGAAGGGGTATTTTGTTACTTGAAGTATGCTATTCAAAGTAGTTGGACTTGAATTCCAAACTCCAACCCCTTCACTTAAATCACACTTAAAAGCTTGAAAAGAATTAACTCCTGAGCAGTATGCACCCATTCCGTTAAGCATATAAATACGACTGTTATGGCTATAGATTCAGCAATACCTTGTATTTTTTTCACTGATCTCTTTCGATAGCAAATTTAAATTAATTAAATAACTTTTTATCAAATCGCTCTTATTGCTTCGTAGGTTCGAATTCTGAAAATAACAATAAGGGAGAAATGAATTATCTCTGGGTTTAGGATCAGTGTTTTCAGATTGATCAGAGTTTATGGTTATCTCTTGCGCAGAGGTAGCCAGATTTTTTTTGTAACTTAATGGTCGAATCTTTTTGTTCTTAGTCAGTTTTGTTTTTTATTGTTTTTTTTTTTTTTGTCCTCCTTATTTATCCAGGAGGAAATTTCTTTTTTCTATTTCGCATAAGTGAAAGAAAAATTTCATAATCAAATCAAAATGTAGCGGCCATCATCATTGCCGTTCGCCATTCCTGACTTATAAAACGATCCAAAAAGTGGAACTCAATTATGACAGCGATTGATTTTAGCGTATTGAAAATTCGCTCGGGAGGGAGCTAATAGCCAACTATCTAAACCTTCCATTCTGATCCAAAGCTAGCGCTAGAGCTTGGTATCACGGGAAGACAAATAATCAATAATACTATGATTAAAGCTTAAACTATGCACAATGTATGTAACGTTATTATGTATGATAATCGACTAATGTTAGTCAAGAATATGTTTAGTCGCCCGGTGATAGTCGACTTTTTAAAATGCACCGCGGAAAAATTAAAAGGTTAGACACCTTTCGCTTAAGGTGAATCTGGTTCACATTATAATTTGTTGCTTATTTTATATTTTCTTCTTCTTCTTCTTCTTCGTCTTTTTTATTTATTTAGTTAGTTATTGTGCTTTATTTTAAGTTTTTATAAAATAAAAGTTTACTCAATTTCTTACATTTTTTCTTCCTCTTCCTCTTTTTCTTTTTTTTTGTTATTCTACCTATTTTTATTATTCATTTGTTTTGTTTCTTTAGTAACTATAGATCTTGCACTGCATTTATTCACTGCTTTTTACTATTATTTGTATCGGGCCGTTGATTACAAGGGCAGCCAAAGATCTTTTACACAACAATTTGGATTTTTGTTGTTGTTGTTGTTACTTGTACTCTTAATATTAACAAATAAAAAATTCGTCTTTATTACTTTTCCTTCTTCTTTATTATTTTTTTGTTTTTTTTTTTGGTTATTTGTTGATTTGTAAATAATTTTTGTATTTATATTATGCTCGTCGGTATTGTTTCAAAATTCTCTATAGATATACATTTACGTTTATACATACATTTAAAATAAGCAGTCTGCATGTATGTATTTCGTTTTTTATTATATTCAAAATTGTACTTCGGTAATTTACCCGTTTTAACAACTGGTTCTATTGCAACCCGTGCCGAGACTGCGATCAGAAAAAAAACTTGGGCTTTATAACTTATTATTTAAAGCACATAAACCTGCTAAATAAAAGTTGTTAGCAACAGCTATTAATTGCGTTTATACTCTCATTTAAGCGAGAGAGGAGAGGAAAACATGTTAAGAGAAAGAGAGAGATTGAGAAAGCCAAAGATTGCAAACATGGCTTTAACATGTTCAGTCAATCAAAAGTCGAGATTGTTACATTTCCTACGCAATAGTAATGATCAGTACAGCTGTTTCATCAGCTGAAACTGAAGGATTTGCCGCAACGTTCCGAACCGAATTAAATATTCTTTGCGAATATATTTCAATCAAATGAAAATGTTTGCCTCAAAGTTTCGAGTGAGACTTAATTTTACGTAGTGCATGTGCGTGGTCCATCCAGGGAAGCTTGAGTAGTAGGATAGTTTTACTTATACGTGTCTGTCTGTCTGCCTGCTCACATAAACCATAGCAAAGTAGCCCTACTTTACTTGGACAGAATATTGAAATATGCACTGCTAGCTTCTTCTGTGCGATATACGGTTGCAAGACGATCCATGCTCTCGTTATATCGTCCACGTGTAGCGTGTCATATATATATATATATATATAAAATATCTATTTCGAATAATTTTTTGTACAATTTTTGTTAACTTCGGAGTTTCAGCTGAAGTGCTTAACATTTTTAAGCGATAATTTAGGAAAGTAGGACGAATTATCATTGATTTTGGTAGCTATTACCACAGTCATGAACTTACACTTGAATGAGTGATAAGGAAAAATACGAAACCAAGGTTTTTCTCCTTGACGTCACACTTTCCATTTTAATAAAGAGACGAACGACCGGCATGTCTAGATAGATTTCACTATAAACGATAATCGATAATCTATACGCTGTAAGGAATTTCTGAGGTAGTTTTATGTGTCAGTAACGCTCGGCAAAATCTCCGCCCTCATTGATATAAGGTTTAGTTGAATTGATCCGTTATGTGTGTTAGCTATATTAATAATTCCTTCTTTTTTTTTTTAAATTATTGAGCATAGCGTTATACGTTTCCTCATAAAATGTGTGAATGTTAATTAAAACTCATAAGCCAAAGGCTGAACTGTTCCTTATCCAACACGGTACTTGTCAACACTTTCGATACGAGGCAGTACAGAATAACGACTTTGATATAACACCGAATTATTTTCCATAGCGTCGGTATACCAAATCATTCATCAACTTATTTCAACAACTTCAGCCTGTCAGCTGAACACAAGAAAACGAGATGGACATACGGACAGGCAAGTTTATATCGATTTAAAAAATGATACAAATACTGACTCGGAATCGGTGTAATAGAAGGTGGGTGCATCTCAAGATTAAAATTTTTATTTATTGTTAACGTAACACGTACTAGCAATATTCAGTTCATCTTCATTCTCGGTACAAGTACTATCTCACGTCTCGTTAATGTCACCGTTCGTATTACTTTCGTCTGAACTATTGTTTTCATTACTTTCAAAAATTGCCTCATCTTCGGTATCATCTATAATGTTATCTTCGTCCAATCAGACGCATCAAATATATGAGGATAATTAAGAAATACTTCCTGAAAGTAAGCCTTTGAGAAAAGGTTACCTGTAAGTAAAACAGACGAGAAATTTATTTATTTCCACGGAATTTGAATTGTATTATTAATCGAACATTTTTGCGGCAATATATATCTTTGATGCAATCAACTGTTCAACATAATGCAATAAAACACTTGGTACCTTTTATCAAAGATAAAGAAAAAAAACCATAAGATACTTTAAGGCTTTCCGCTATTAATAGACGTAAACCGATTATTCTTTCATATACGTCTTATATCGTGCACCACTTGCGGTATATTGAAATTTTGTTATAGCTATCGATCCGGAATCACTTTCTGATTCGATCTAAACTTGTCTGTCCGTCTTGTTTACTTATATTTAATCTATAGTTCACAATTTTTGAGATATTTTGATGGAATTTGATGATAGGACAAACGGACCATCTCCATATAATGACTTAGTTTAACAACGGAGCGTAATATGAGTGACTATATTAAGGGAACTGGTTGGCCGTGTCCCATTAAAATGTTTTAACTTATTTATTCATTTATTTTTATTCCTTCAATTTGAAGGTAAACATTATCTCTTACCTAAAATATAAAAGAAATTTCATTATTAATAAATAATAAAATAATAATAATAATAGCAAATTTATAAACAATCGATTTGTAGTATTTTATTTTTATTAATAATTTTACTAAATTTTGACATAATTTTATAAAATTTTCAATCATAGAGACAAAGAATTTTAAAAACAATTTCGCTAAGAAGAACTACGATATAAGCAAAATTCGATTGTAAAATATAATTATTTAAATATGCGACAATAATAATAATTTTTTTATTTCATTCTACTAATTATTGGAAATTTCTCTTTCCATAATTATAATAATAATTATATTATATTATAATTTCCTTTGATTAGCCGCATCGATTAATATACTATAGGATTAAAACAAATGGAGGTAAAGGGGAACATTTTTTTAAAATTATTCTAATGAGGTAGTGTCGGTTGATTTATAGTATGATAATTTATATATATTTGCATATATTTATATATAAATGCATATATATGCATATATATATATATATATATATATATGTATATGTGTATGTATATTTAAATTATAGTTTATGTTAAGGGAACGAAAAAGTCATTTTTCTCAAAAATTAATTATGTACTCAAAAAAATTTGTAGTCAATTGTTTTTTAAAAGACTTCTAATGAAGATGTATTAAGTTTTTGCAAACGATTTAAGATACATATATGTAACTTGCAAGTTCTCTTTGATGAAATTTGGCACATTGTTGCATTTTGGCATGAAAAAGAATCACATTAAAAGTAGATTGAAAAGGCACCTAAAAAAGCTTTAAGTACCTTCAAGAATCCTTTACCTTACACTTTTTTGATATTCTTCGGCATAACTCGAACAAATGTGAAAGTTTTTGAAACCTTTTCCCCAGCACAATCATTTCTATGCGAATTCACTTTCTATTTGGCAGCGATATATAATTTTTAAAATTTTCTAAGCAAAATTGCTTTGCATATAGATGTACTCGTATATATTCATATATACTTGCAACATAAAGGTTCTCATGGAAAATAATGAATCTTTCTATGGCAAATGTAGCATCGTTTTTAGTGTTTTATGCGAGAAATGATAAAAAATGCAATGAATTTTTTCAACTTTTTGATTCAAATTCTCGATCCCCTGCATCATAAGATCTTTCAACGTCGAATAATCATTTTTATATGATTAGAAATTTGTAATTTTCATTAAATTCTTGGATTTTGAATAGCCCTCTTTGGTTCAGGGCCTTGCTCAAGTTTAATCTTTTGACTTTTTGCTTTAATGTAATTATAAAATTTCATTCATTTTTTAAATAATTCTGCATTTTCTTATTTAAAACAAATGTTCTTTTACTCTACACTATAGATATCATGTTTTATTTTTAGGCGCAAAAGTACTGGTCCTTTTATTCCTATACAAGTGAACATGAAAACTAAAAAAAAAATAAAATGTTGATTAAAATGATGGAAAGAAAAAAGAAAAAGCAATTAGGGAATTTCCCCTTCCCATCCCGAAAAGGTTTCTTTTACTATGGGCATGTTAGCACGCTTTTTCGGAATTTTTTCAACCCGAATATTTAAATGAACTTTATAACAATTTGGAAGAAGCTTCGCATTGACATCTTTTACAACTCTTTGATGTATTGTCTTTAGTGAACTTGGTTAGGAGTAGTTTAACCGTCAATCAGTCAATAGCATATCTGTAAAATTTTGATATTTTCCTACAACGAACATAAATGAAGAAATACATGTATGTATGTCGAGGCTTTAAAATGAAGAAACAAAAAAATTTTTAACAATTCTATATTAAATAAAAAATTTGTTTATTAATTTTTTTTTTTTTTCAACAGAAACAGAAACAATAAACGAGAAACGATAAACATATATTTTAATTATTTTATGTAAAACTAAACGTTTCTAATTATGTATGAAGTTTGGCTGAAAAGTTGCCGGCCTAAACAAAAAAGGAAAACATATTTTTAGACGTAACGTTCTTTGCGAATAATACAATTACTCCGACGGTTCGTCAATATTTTGATGGCCTCCTTGCAGAACAACTATTTCCGCAATCATTTCATGATTTAATCGAACTGTATTTTTCCCAAGTATTTTGTTTTGAGAATCACATTAGTCGTTGGGGATAGACTTGAAGGAGATGGTGTGATGAGGCAGCAAACCGGACTTTTATCCATTCGATGTTGTCACTGTATTCCTATCGGTTTGCGACTCGAAGCTTTTCTTTCACTGCTAGAGAACGCGACCGATAACGGGCGGTTTGCCTAAGTCTTGATTCAAGATGTGACAAACGCTTTTCTTGGATGTACCTTCATACTTTCTCTCATCTCTCTAACGTCGAATCGATGGTCTGCGGTCTCGATAAGCGCATGATGCGATAAGCGATGTGATAATAGTGCTCGATCTCGTCTCTCGTCTTCAACATTCATTGTTACGGCCAAAATTCATTTAAGATATCACAAATTGCGTATTGGCTTTTGAAAGACAAACAGTTAATGACATCATAAGAGCATTCACGGTGATTAAGTGAAGCGATAATCATGCGCTTAATGTGCGTTGAAAATTGCTGAAATTATGAGCCCTTGTATGTATTTCCCCACAATTTTCTCCTTCTGCGATTGCTCTCATCTTTATGTTTGTCCTTCTACAGATATATATATTTTTCCTTTATAAATATTTAAAAAGTATTCTAACATTTTATTTCGCTAAGTAAATAGATGATTTAGATTTTGTTCTAGAAGTTATTATCAGATCGTCATAATATTAAGAATTTAAAATTTTAGATTAGCTTGTACTTCGGCCATAATGCTAGCAGATTTCTGCAATTGTTGTATCTCATCGGTAGTCAATATCTGTCGGATCATATGCGTAATACCATTCGCGTTCAAAACACAGGGCAATGATAAAAAGACATCCTTATCAATGCCATGTTCGCCCTAAAAATAAATGTCAAAAATATATAAAATAATATTAATACAAAAATGATTTTGAGTTTTTGAGACAGAAGCGCCGTCAAAAACATACCAATACCGATGTCGAGACGGCTACAATAGCACTTGTGTTGCGTAAAATGGCCGAGGCTAAAGCGGCCGTACTTAAGCCAATCGCCCATGAAGTGTAGCCTTTCAATTTGATAACTTCGTAGGCCGATTGCACAACTTGCTTATGCACATCGCACCACTTTTCATGATCCTGTGCAGTCCCGATGCTTGGATTTAATTCACGCAAACGTACACCAGCTATATTTACACCCGACCATACGGGAACTGAACTGTCGCCATGTTCTCCTATAATCCAACCGTGACATGAAGTGGGAGCGACGCCTAAACGCTGAGACATTAAGAAACGGAAACGTGACGAATCCAAATTCGTACCGCTACCAATAATCCGATTCTTTGGTAGACCAGACAATTTCCAGGCGACATAAGTCATAATGTCAACTGGATTAGAGACCATTAAAATGATTGTATCAGGGCTATATTCTACTAGCTTTGGTATGATTTGCTTTAATATATCGGTATTACGTTGTACCAGCGATAAACGAGACTCTCCCTCCTTTTGTCGCACGCCGGCGGTAACAATGCATAAACGTGAATTAGCCGATTCGACATAATCGGCGCTTGCGGTTATCTTAGGATTTTTCAAAAAATTCGATCCATGTTGCAAATCCATTAGTTCACCCATTAATTTATCCTTACAAACGTCCATTAAACAAATTTCACTGGAGATATTTTGCGCTAGAATACTAAATGCACAAGCCATACCCACCTGACCGACACCAACAATAGTAATTTTATTGCCGCCAGAGGGTAAAGTTTCCGCCACCTGATTCAAAAGATTCTCTTTCAGCGAAGTCATAGTATTACTGTAAACGCTAATAAAATTTAAAAAAAATAAATAAATAAATAAAAAAAAATTATCAGTTAAGAAATATGTTAAGCGAGACTGAGACTTGAACGTTTCCCGATACACTATCACAAATATTCGTAACAGTTATGCATATAAAGATAAACGATAAATTAGCCACTTATTAAATATGAGAAATTAAATCTGTTTATACATTCACACATATTCACACATACGTGATATGGTGATGCTTTCAAAAATTTTACACTTTAAAAAGCACATCTATGTCGTTCGAGGCGATGAATTCTATTGAAGCGTAAAAGTAAAATCGAAAATTACTTGGGATAATTCCGAAATATATCTTGGGTAAATTTGTTGTGTTGTTATACGTGAAGTTTGAATATTGTTTTGCTGACAGCTTCAAATATCAAGTATCAACTATTTATCACAGTGTTGAGAAATTCTGAATCTACTTCTTGACAAATCTCACATCATGTCCGAAAAAACATTCCAATCAATGATACTGATAGGGCAGTACAAACCGGAGGCGTATGAACGTTTACAACAACGAATTGACCTTACAACGTTCCAACATTTGTAACTTGGCGCCGTTAAGTGAAAAAAGTATCCTTCCAATTCAAGCACCCGCCCATAGATGCGGCATTAGAATATTCTACTTTGAATAACCAGTATAAACCGTTCCCTTTCGATCAAACGAATTTCCTTATTTAACTTCCCTACGCTATGTCGTCTTTCTCTAATACGTTTCACTTCTACGAGTAAAAATTACTATAAAAGAAACACCAGTGAAATGGTTATATTCCATCCATGCATCCACGTGGATCATTGTCAGGGGAAGGACAGGGGAGTTTTTTTTTTATTTCCATGATTTAAAGCGGGCAGGCATGAGCTATTATATAAATTTTCTTACGGCCACAATGGTATTTGAAAAATTTAAGATCAGTTCTTTTTTTAACACTAAAATTATCGACGTTTCAAGCTTTGATAATGGGATCACTGCGAACCTTTTTCTTTGTGGTGTGACCAAATACGCAAACATTGGGATACGAACCTAAAATTCCTCACAAATATTTCTTGATCGTTCGAAAAACTATACTTAGAAATTGAATGTGATGATCGTCCGCGATAGAGACCCTCGCGAAAAAGCACCGACTATAGCTTTCGATCATCTTCATATTGAATTCAAAAATGTTGCCAATTGGCTGACTAACCCAATCCAAAATTAATAATAAAATTTTAATTTCAATTTATTTTCGATTTATTCCCTTTTTACTTTAATCCACAGCGGAATGTCTTTTAATCAAGTAAATACAAATTGGAATTTAAATTTTATCATTAATTGTGGACAATGATACTAAACCGATCGGGACAGTTTTCAATATTCAATACACGTGAGCAGATCATTCCTTAAAAAACGTACTATGCACTGTACGGTGAAGGTCTAATAAACGATCAAGCAGTTGAACAGTGTTTTACCATATACAGGTTTGGAGATATGACTTTAGGAAAGAACGAATCGATCGATATTAAAGCAAAATCCAGATCAATCAATCAGAGATATGGTAGAAAAGTTGGATACATTACAATCAAGGATTTTGGTGTCACTTGGAGCAATTAAGAAAGTTGGTTAGCGCGTTAAACAACAGAAGCAGCTTATTTATGAATCGACCTAAATAATTACTTCACCGCCTGAGGATTGAACTTTTTTTTGCAAAAAAATAATTTCTTGCAACGATTTACACCTGGACTATGGAGTTACTCAAAATGATCTTTGAACACAATCAATCATTTTTCAATTACCAAAAAAATATTGTCGCGCAATGTTGTTAATCAGTACATTATTCGGGAAAGTTATTATTTATATACATATATATATATATAACTGCTATCTGCCCAAGTATTTTCTGGCATAAATTTAAGATTTTTGTAAAAATTGCAATTAATCCATTTGTGCAACGAACGGCGTATATGCGATAGGTATTTCGAAAACCACCGGACCACCAGGTAGAAGAAAAAGCTTCTTACAAAAATAGTGAGAAGGTCTTTCTAAAATTGTAAGTATGATGTTGTTGTTTTTTCAATATCACTCTTCTTTTCTAGGATTGTATTCACACTAATCGGCATATGTAATATTATGAATTTTTCGAGCGAAATTTGCTTACAAAAGGTTAAAGTAAATAAAGTATTTTTCATATACCAAACATTTATTCGAATTGAACGACATCGCGTTAATATTCGCGCAATTCGGAACATATTTCTCACAATAATGATTTGCGGAATTCCTCAAGTCGTAGCAAGTGCAAGTGCAAGTGCAGTGTGTTTCGTTGAAATTTAAATACGGAATGAAACTGGTGTCGATAAATGAATCTGTATCATATTAGCCCGTTCACAAAATATAATTTATAATGATAGTGAAAACATATTTCAAAATTATTTAATAAACTTTTTTATCACCGACACAAATTCTACGAATTTTTTGTGTTGATTTAAAAAGTATATATATTTTTTACACACACAGCGTAGCAATTGTTTTGTTATTTTATTTTTCTGCTCCTTTCAATGCTATCTCCCCCACAGCACCATATCAACCTAGAACATCTCTATAATTTCCAAAGAAATAATTGGTTCTTTGCTTATTACTTATAATACTATATCGAAAAAGCGTAGAAAAATTTGAATGCATATTCTATGGGCGGTATTGTAGGAATTATATAAAAAATGGTAAAAAATTGATCACGTCTACCCAACATTATAGTGCATCAAAATTTATATTTTTTTTTCAATAACCTTTATAAGGCACAGAAACAAGATTCAAAAACTCACATAAAGTCTATAAATTCTTAGGCAATTTCATATTCGGAATGCACCTAAACATGTCCATCTGTATGTCCACTCAGCTGTCTAGTGTCTGTGGTAAATATTCTCCACTTAGCGAAAATGAAGATATCATCCGATATCGATTTGAAAAAGAATTTGGGAATGACTAAAAGATCCTTTTTCAAGGACACACCTACAACGCCCACACGCCTACATAACAAAAACTTTCAATTTGAAAATAGGAAAAATCAATCTCGCATCCACTCCATATAGAGGGGATGAAAATTCGAATATAATTTTTTTGCTTATTTCCTATGGCCATAAGGGCAGTCAGTATTACTACCAAATATCAATCTTACTTCTCTTCACAAATTTTTATGCCTTTCATGCAGCATTCTGTTATAAATGCGTTCGCTATCATATTAGAAAGATATGTGCAACGTTTGTGTTTATGTTTGCCAGCGTGCCCTTCAACTTGCATATACAAAGTCAAATTATTACTTTGTCTATGCATTGTCAGTGAGACACGAATGTACATAGTAGCAGCTGCGTTTAGCTGCGTGATTACTAGAGCGCATGACTTTTTGAAAAATGCAAGTGAGTTTTCACTACAAGGTCATCGAAAGGTGAATAAACTAAAAAAGTTTTGCGTTTTATTTTTTTTACGCATGAGCATAAACTTATTGATATTAAAATGCCGACCTTAGTGTAATGATAAATTTTTGATTTTTATTTTCATTCACTCAATGTAAACGTATGGCTTTAAGAATCATAGCTTTTTCTAAAGCTTGCTTGTATTGGTGTAAAAATGTTTCTTAAAAAAAAAATAAATAAATTTATATATATATATATATAAAATTTTTAATACTCACTTCTTTAAGGGATCTTCGAAATAATCATTGTTTCAATCATTTATATATTAAATCATTACCAATGGGCTTTATATATACATATTCGATTTTTCTTGGTTCCTAGCTTTGAACTATGGTCATTCGATTCCGAACTATATATCAGTATCCATTACTCCAATTTTATTCATTTATTTACGAATATTTACGGTTTAAAACGAATATCGTGCTACGGGCGCTAAAAACTATAATTACACACATCTGTCATAGGCTACCTTAAGAAGTTCGATCATTTTAAAAGAATTTTTTCTCAGTTGAAAAAACTTATCAGAGATTTCCATAGTCATTTACTTATGAATTCAAAATTTCTCAATTTTGTTCGACTTCGCGGTCGCTCCTCACTTGTCTGCCTGCTCTTGTTATGACATGACCATGACCTTGAAACTTGAAAGAATTCATTTTATTTCTAAATTTTAATTTTCGGAAATTCTTGGAATTATTTCGAAAGGTAATTAAGCAGAGGCGAATTGCTCAAAGTCTTGTTTGAAGCATTCATAGATCCATCAAATCCATCTCTTAAGCTTGAAAATTGAAAATTAACTTTGCTTACAATTAGTAAAACAGCTCCAAGTAAAAATCTCGCTCTCGATGACGTTATTAATCTTGTCATTATAATAACAATTATGACCGTGATAGACATGCTGGCTTATTGCCTTTGGCTAGCAATAGATGATAGCTGACAGTCAGTCTTTCGATCTAAAGCAACTTTTTCTTTTTTTGGTTTTTTTTTGTTTTTCGTTGTTGTAAATTTATGAATTTAAAAAAAAAAATCGTTTTTCTCATTTCAATTAACGCACATTATAATAAGAAGAAGTAAGAAAATGGTAGTAGAAAAAAAACAAAAAAAAAACAAAGGAAAAGAATTGAATTTTCATTTCATTCTATAATATTAAATGAGTCTGGCTAATTTTTGCTACTTTCCGAATAAAAGTTGAAACTTTCATGCCATATGTGCAAGAAGCATGGAACACGGAAAGCAAAAGTGCTCCAATGTCGTTGTTGTTGTATAGGGGCGTTCGTTGAAAAGTCTGGATCACTTTTTCAAATTCTTTTGCAATTTCGTAGGCAAACCAGAGAATGTCTACCACACATACTAGATGGACAGACTGCAGAGAGAAGCCTTGCCAAGAATTTATATAATATATGGACTTGTTAAAGTTAACTTCGATGCGTCGTAAAGGTTTTAGAATAAACAAATATATATAAAATTGGCCGATGTTGCTGATGAGTAATGGGAAAAAAACCAATTTTTTTAATCGCTTTTGGTAAGCAGAGATGTTCTCTAGTACTTATTATAGGCGTATTCTTTGACCGATTTGTCACATTCCCCAAATACCAAGGTGCGTGCGGGAACTTCATTTCTGCGGCCAAAAGAATTTTTACGTAGACGAACAGACGGACAGGCGGACAGACGAGCAGGCTTAAATCGTTTCAGAATTTGATGCTGCGGTGTCTCTTTCCCATTCCTTTTGGACGTTGCAAACGCATTCCATGGACTGATGGCCAAGTGATATCGAAGCAAGTGAAAGGGTATGAAAAGAAGAATTCTCCTGAGCTAAGTGTGTATTCACGTCTTTTAAGATAACTTCACTTCCCCACCACAAGGTGTTGGTGTCAAACGGTCATGTCACGTTACGATCTTACGATCCGAAATTTCTTGCCAAGAAAGCATCTATGCCCCGATACAGGGCTTTATTTCTCCATTTAAGATCTCCGAGGGGCACACAGAAATTGTGAAAATGCCTTCTTAAATACACCTCTACACTACTATGCATTTCATATATATGTACGTAATAGAAAGTTTGTACAAAGACACAATAAATTCGTTTTCGTTTCTTAGCGAAATTTCTCAGCATTTCTCGCATTTCTTTTACTCACTTTGATGTTTCGCTTTAAATGTTTTTAGAATTGATTGAAGTTTTCACTTTATTTATTAATTAATTGTTTTAAATTCGCTTACAACCATCATCAATAATGCTATTTATTCATTCACTTTGCCAGTTCAGAGCGTACTGACTGGTTACTATTGTCTAATAATAAGTTTTTGGCTTTGCTGCTTTGTTCGCGTTTTTTTCGTTTTCGACTGGAATCTTGCAAACCGTTCATCAGCTCCTCGCTGTACGTTACAGTTGTGCCGGTTATTTATTTGCTTTTCGTTTATTTCTGAAACATAATACAATGTATATTATAAACGAACTCTCAATCACGTACTCTACCTCCGCCCAAGCTATTCGCATTCTATGTACAATGTTCTCTGTCGACGTTTGTTATTATTATTCTTTTTTCTTTTTTTTTTCCGTTTTTTTTTTATTTTTTTTTATGTTTTACCTTTCGACGCCGCCTAATGACGAAGTAATGACGACTTTCTCAAATAATTTTAGATAATTTTGCCTTACCATGATGAGGATTCCATCTTTTACGATCGCGTTCGTAACGCATGAAAATATGCGTTAAGATGTTTAGTAAATTGCGTAGAACTTTCGAAATTAATTCACGTAATGTCATAAGCAATTTCGCCGGCATAGGTCGAGGTTGAGAGTGTAACGATGTCATGGATAAGACTACAGAACCTTATCCTCGTTTTTCATTTGACTGCGAGAGGATTTCGCCATTTACTCCCTTATTTCATGATGTAATCATTATGTAAGTATGATGCGAGCATAATGTAGGCAAGATATTGCTAAAAATATTCACACATAGCGGACATAGCAGATCTATTTCATACATTATTTACTTTCATTTCGCCAAAGATTGAGTGAAACGCAATAAGAAAATATTAATAGCGATGGGTATCAATGTATTCGTTCCAACTCGAATAATGAAATATTTTGTGTTTCTCTTATTTGCTTCTCAACATAATCACAAACTATTGTTTACCTTATGTTAGTTTATGGCTTCGTTTGGCGGCAACTCATGTATCAAGGTGACCTTTTGTACTAACATACACTAACATATGCATAATTTCCCGAAATTTTTGTTATCTAATATATATATATATATATATATATTTGTTTGGTTTTTCTTTTTTTTTTTTCATTCAAACATATTGAACAGATGCTAGATGAGAGAATTTTTTTTTTTTTTCCTTTCGAATTTCATCCCCTGAGTCAGGCGCTTCGAAGGCTTAAAAGCGAATTTTGCGAGTTTTGCACAAATATCAGATCAGAAGGGTTTCAAAGTGATATTTACTTTAGCTACGCATTGTAATAGCTACGTATGTAAAAAGTATCTATGGTGTCTATAGTAAACCTAAAGATTGTTATCGAATCTAAAATTGAATAAGTTTTTAGTGTATTTAACGAATGTATTCGCAACTTAATCATCATCTTATGTAACGTTACCGTAATTGTCAAACATAATCACTTTATTATGAAATTAAAAATTTGTATGTGAGTGGATAGATGACCATTATTAAGGGTTAAAATTAAGGGCTAAAATTAATTGCTGCCTAATTCTTGCTACATTTAAACAAGTAAGAAAATTGCAGCAGTTATCATCGAATCTTTTATACCCATCACGGTTATCCTAAAAAAGACGAAACGAGGTAAGAGAAGTAAACATTCATGCATTGACAATATGGATTGGGCGCGGAGCTGATTTTTTTCGAATTTGAAAATAAAAATATTTGACATGTGGGCGTTGCAGGCGTGCCCTGAACATAGGTGTTCTCGGTTTACGTGGTGCTGTGAGCGTACTGTTCGATCTGTTTGACCTATTTTCAATATGAATATGAGTGCAAGTACTTCCAGTGTTCCTACCAAATTTGAAGATATTTGAAATTTTAAGAAGATAGTTTCACCTTTGCGACCAGGAGAATATTTACAATAGAAATTACCCAAACGGACAGACGGACATGCTAAAATCGATTTAGAATTTAATGCTGATCAAGAATGCACATACTGTGCGGGGTCTCTGGCGCTTCCTTTGGGGCGTTGCAAACGTTTTCACAAAGTCAATATACTCCTAATTCTTCAGTGATGGGTACAATTACGGAAACGTCTTGAAGAAAAGTTGACATAAGTCAATTATGATTTCCCGCTTTATCTAAGGAGTTACGGCTGAAAGTGCCTAACTTCCATCGAACAGGCTTCTTCTCATAGGCATTACCGTCATCGGTTGTTTTCGTTACGTTCGTTCGTGGTTAAATATGACTTCATATCGTTCGAAAAGAGCAAGTTTTAGCGCCAATGTGAAGAGAAATTAAATAACGAAGAAGCACCTACGGAATGCAAATGGAAGTATTTTGCGCTCATTTATATGGTGATATTATGGTGCCTGCAACTATTAAGGTTAAGTCGTGTAACACTATTTTTATTAAGCGGTATCGGTATCGGTATCGGGAATAGAGTAGCACTGACTAGCTTTCGCAGAAAGCTTAAATGCAGAGTTTGACAGATCGACAGATCGACTGTTCCTGCAAAAGTAACAATAAATATAATAAATGAAAACATTGTGGCGGGCCACTACCCACTCTACAGCGACTTTCCAAAATAAGGTTTCAGTTGGCACATGGTCGAAAAAGTGGTGCGGCCCGAACAGAATGGTCATCGAAATAACTCAAAAATTGCAAGCCTGTATAGTTGAATAAAAGAAAACAAGATGTATAGCTGGATAGACGGACAGACAAGCTTAGATCGATTGAAAAATTCATCATTTTAACGGAACTTGCAATAAATTGTGTTGATATTCTATTCTGTAGCTAATTTTAGAATGTCCCTCCAAATGCAAAACTTCTATGTAAGGAAAAGTTAAGGCAATCACAGAGAATGTGCTTTATAGCGACAATTTGTCCACAATTGCAAACTGGGGAGGAAGACTTTTTTAAGAACCATTCGTGCGTTCGAATTGCATGGCCAAGACGAATTCTCGAAAAGGTTTCGAATTCGTGTAAAGGTGGAATTAATTGAGGATTAATCGAAGAAGAGTAGTGTTGATGATCGTATTTTGAGTTTTCGTTCTGTAATTTTCTCTTTAACTTTTATTCCAATGCGTCTTTGAAATTCCGAATTTTCCATAACATTATCCATAATTAGAGGTGCAGAAGCAGCATACTTTGCCGCTCGTTCAACCTTCTCATTTCCCAATAAACCGATATGAATCCATTTGAAGACGCTGCGAACCTTTCCCATAAAGACAAATATAAAATCGTCATTGTTACTGACAGTTTGTTTGTATTAAAAGCTGTACGGAATCCGTCGACTTCGAGATCGAGCAACCATCAACAAATTAAGGAATATCAAAAATTATTAATATATTGTAGTCGCTTGCAAAGTTTTAGTGTTAAAGTGTCTCGATTGGATCGCTCATTCAATGTCTGTTCGTTGAGATGCCAAAGTAAATATAACGTATTTTTTATTTGCATTCAATTTAATTATATTTGAATAGTATACGTAATTGAGTATGCATTAGATTGCATCTTTTATTCTCACACATATATATATTAAGAGAATTTCTAAATAAATTGGATGGATGAATGGATGGGATGGATGGATGGATGGATGGATGTGCTTTACTCGAGTCCGCATTACACTTAGTCTTCTAATATCTTACTTAATATCTTATTCTCATACATATGTATATGTTAATATTAAGAGAATTTCTAAATAAATCGAATGAATGGATGGACGGACGGATGATAGAATGAATGAATGAATGAATGGATGAATGGATGGATGGATGGATGGATGCGTTTTATTTAAGCAATATAAGAGGGAATGGTAATATTTCTTAATATTATATTCCAAATGTATTTGTTTTCATTTCTTTTTCTTGGGCCATATAACCCAAATGCCCACAAAAAATTCCATTATCATTAGAGAGAGTGCGCCTATGATGATAACACTAATTAAAGTAATGAAATGTTTAATCGATAAGAGCAGGAACACTAATACTGGAATTTGTATTAACAGTGAGAGAATCAAAAATGTGCTCAAGTCACCTGGCTGTAAATTCACAAAAAAAATAAAATAAAGTCTTAATTGAATCATTGATTGCATACAATTTTATTAACTTATATTACTTACCCGGCATTTTAAGTTACCCTTATAACCCATATATAAGCGATAATACTCGATTATCGTACCAAACAGATACGCGATTATAATGAAATTTCCATGCAAATCATTAAAATTGAAAAGCTTGCAATTAAGAATAATTTTAATTAATTTAATTTAGCAATGTGAAATGATTTTATCGAACTTACATTATACAATATATAAAAGCCATAAACTCCGGCCCAGGCTGCCGATAAGTATACATTGCAAAACATTAATACTTGTAGCAATAAACTCGGCTTATACGGCACTTCTGCAATCCAATATAATTTTCTTCTTCACATTTTTTTCATTATTATCATAAAAATTTTAAAAAATCATTTACCTTCATATTTATGCATAACACTTTATTCACAAGAAATAAAAAAGAAAAACCGAAAATTATATCGCATCAAAATTTCAACTATAAACGACGTTTTGATTGCCCCTGGTAACCAATAACAACCAAATAAATACATAAACATAGTTAGCAAGAACCACGAAATTGTCTTGACAAGTGCATATAGGGTTTACAGCGGTTTTACCCCCAAAAGTCTCTCAATTAGATGTATAAATACATATATAGAGTTATAAAATAAGCGCTTTTGTACCCCACACCACTCGCGGTACTTGTGGGTGTGCGGACGTATGTCCCAGACCCGGAAAGGCTTAACGTAGGTCCACCTTTTATTATAACGATCGATTCCGATGTTTGTCCATGTGTTGTCGAATTTGACAATGAGGCAAACACTTACTTCGGCCCAAGGGCGAATCCTATTGAAAATGATTCGGATCGGTTCACTTTTTCGACGACTACCCATTATCAAATAAATGCTTTTATATCCTACCACTCGTGGTACAGGTTGTGCGGACGTATGTCCCAGATCCAGGCAGGTTTAAGGTAGGTTCACCTTTTATTATAACGATCGATTCCGATGTCTGTCCATCCGATATCTGTCCATGTGTTGTTGTGTTGTCGAATTTCACAAAGGGTCAAAGACTTGCTTTGTTCCAAGGGCAAACTTTATTGAAAATGATTCGGATCGATTCACTTTTTCGACGACTCCCCATATAACGCCCTATTTTGAAATTTCCAAAATTTCTCGACAAAGATGGCTAAGTAATAAATAGTATTTCGGCATCCTGAACGTGTACGAAAACTTTCGACTGGCTGGGGCAATTTTTGAATCCCCTCTCTTACAACGCAAACTGAAATTCATGCGATAAAAAGGCACAATTTTCAATGCTATATGATGAGTTTAATATAAATAAATTAACTGTATCAAACTTGGACTATCTCGGCCTATTTTTTGGATCCTAGCGTAATAAGGATTTTCACGAAAATCGATCGTTTGTAAAGCAGAAAAGTCTAAGCTTTAATATGTGTTGGATGAAAATTGATTGCAGTTTCATACAAAAATTAAGTCTAAAAAAATTTGGACGATGTACGCCTATTTTTGGGTCCTGCTTTATGTAAGGATTAAACTTGTACTATATATTAGATTGCGTTTTGGGCCCGCTTCTCCAATAGATACGCACTTTAAAAATATGCATTTATATGGAAACAAGATATCATCGTTGTGTTCTATAACAAAAGTGTAAGAATCGTGTTAGACAATGTGATGTAGGGTATTTAATGGTCGGCCTTGTCCGACTATAATGTTTTGTACTTGTTTTAATCTGCAATAAAAACTAAACTGCGAAAGACAACAAAATGAGTTTTTTTTTTTGTCTTTTTATGTTATTTCCAAATGATTTCACATAAATAAACGCCTCTGGACTTTTGTAAAAATTCAATCCTGCAGCATAAATTTTTGCCACTTTTCCACATAAATCTGTTTTTACTTCTTGGCGAATAAGGTGATTGATAGTTCGTGGTTTATTCGAGTAAGCCAAACATCCAATGCACATAGCCCATAAGTAAACAATCCGCAAGATGTATATACCGCATGATTTTTATGACAAGCTGACATAAGCATTTTTGGAAATTAAAAAATCCGTTGCACTTTTCTCGTAATAAATTGTTGTCGCCACGAAATGTATGCCATGTTGCAACATTTCCTTAAAATCTCATATCGTCCAACCCGAAATAATTTACTTTGTGCCGTTTCTTTAGCGTTCAGCATTTTCATATTCCAAAATGACATTTTCAGCTAACAAACCACAATCGAAAGTTGTCTTTGTGGTGAGCAAAAATCCTTTAGGAACATCAAATGTTTTTCCTTCACACCAAACGGCAATATTTACCAACCAAGTGTGAGCCTCATCAGACATAAAAGTTGTGACAATTTTTGTTCGCTGTACAACTATATATGCAATGCATTCCACATATAATGGCAACGTCCAACGGAATATATTAAGAAAAAAAAAAAAAAAACGATCCGACGCGTGTTTTACTTAGGTTTATTTTCGGGACAACAAAATGGATAACCCTATGAATACATATTGAATATATTTTACTAGGAAAAATCTCTCGCATGCTTTCTCCAAGCCATATGTTATTCAATTGTGGCTTAACAAGTACTTACGATTGGGTAATTATGATTTATACTTCCGTTGCTAACATTTAAAAATGTGTATTAGATATTCAATAAAGTGCATATATTCTGATCACTCCGACAGTTGGGTCTTCTCTCTACAGTTTATAGTTCGTCAAATTGGCAGATATTTAATAAAATTACAAATTCTTGGCCATCACTTCAGCAAATCACAAAAGATGTTCTACTTAGTCTAACCTAGCCTAGTATAGAACAATAATACCTGATTTATCTACATTACTCTCTATGTGTGGTTCAGCACCACACAACATAAAAAGATGTGGATATCCCGCATTCGAGCTTCGATATAACTATTGAGGAACTCATAATGTACAATTGAAAAGGAAAACCAGAATTCCGTAACCGTGCCTCAGATCTCAGACTTCAGTTAGAATTTGGTATAAATATTGTTTATGGCCCTGGGAAGAGGCTTTTACGTAATGATGGGGATATTCGGTACACGACCTATATAGCTTTCTTTGTCGAGGTCTTCTAAATTAACATGAACACACATTTTATAATGTTAATCAATTTTTCCTAATTATCCATCCGAAGAAATAAAATAATTTTCCATTTCTAATTGCATATCTTTAGGCTTGAATAATTAAAACTTTAAAAGCCTCACCAGAGACAAAGCCAATGACAAGATGTCCCAACATTTTGTTCAAAGAACAAGCTAGTAAAATCTAAGGAACCTGTGGAACAGTAGTAGCGCTCTTAATTAGCAGCAATTTGACAGTTTGCTCTTTCATTCTCATTGTTTATATGAGCAAGGGCTCCGTTAAACTATTATGCGATATCAAAGATTTCCAAAGCAAAAGTATACACATAAATTTCATGTGTTCTCAAATGACCAAATGCCCTCATATATATATTTGCGTAGCAAATATAATTTACTTTTGTTTCATCTTCATAATGAAGAATTGTAAATTTTATTTTCGCTAAAAGCTTTGAATTATTCCTATCAAATAACTTTTCTTAATTCTAAAAAATTGCTTCAAATATTTTAAGATATTATTTTTACTAAAATTTATAAAAGCCTTTGGCGAAAATAAAATTTCGAATTGTTCAATCTGAAATAAACGATAAATTGTGTTTCATCGTCCATTGTACCTAATTTTTAGGTTTGTTGTTTGCACATATACATTTATATCTGAACCCTAGCGTGTAGTCAGTTAGAAAACACAGAGCGATACTGTGATTTATCAAAAACGTCAATCGTTGTTTAGTGCATGTTCATCGAGTTAACAGAATATTAAACATTTTTTCAATCCATAGAGTGAAATGTTATTTTAAGCATTCATTCTCTCGTCTTTATGTTCATAACAGGTTTATACTTAAAGATTACCAGAAATAGAGAAGCTGGAGAGAATTGTTTACAATCAAATTAAAAGTGAAAAACATGATTTTAATTGCTTAGTTGATTTCAAAGACATCGGTTTAAATAATTTTTAAATGTTTATGTAAATTGAAATTTTGTATAGTTATTTATTTTAATGAAAACGGAATATCGATATTTGAAACAAGCAATAAGATCGTGAGTGTAGAAAAAAACAAAGACAAAAACAAAGTTTTCTCGCTACTATTATATAAAACGAAAGCAAGTAACAATTATTCATATTTTTACAGCGAAGCCTGTAATCTACACTACGACTTTATTATTTAGCTACGAAGAAAATGAATATTTCATGGCGTATTTTGGCTGGTTTGACGGTGTTGTTTTTTTACTTGCTAACTGATAACAACAATAAGGTCGAAGCGTTCTCGCATTATCATTTAGGTTTTCATGGCTTTCTGGGCGAGCCTAGCAAAATACCTTCACTGAATGGCGCTGAGCCGGAAGACATGTGGTTTAAACAACGTTTAGACCATTTTTCAACGAAACTTTCGGGCACTTGGAAGCAACGTTATTTTGTTAATGATAAATATTATCGCAACGATAGCAGAGCACCAATATTTCTTTTAATCGGAGGTGAAGCCGAAGCTGCCAAACATTGGATGCATTCCGGTGCCTGGATTAAATACGCCGAACATTTCGGAGCATTATGCTTTCAATTGGAACACCGTTTTTATGGGCAAAGTCATCCAACCGCGTAAGTTACCATAGAGCAAAGTTTCTGAAGGGTGAGAAGAGAACATTATTTTTTTTTGCAAATTTTAGAAATCTTTCTAACGCCAACTTAAAGTATTTAACATCAAAGCAAGCTCTGGCTGATTTGGCGAATTTCGTTAAGGCCATGAAGGAAGAATATAATTTGGGACCTAAGCAAAAATGGATAGCTTTTGGTGGTTCTTATCCTGGTAGCCTGGCAGCTTGGTTTCGTGAAAAGTATCCCGATCTGATTTACGGTTCCATTAGCTCTAGTGCCCCTTTATTGGCTAAAGTTGATTTTAAAGGTCTGAGAGAAATTCTTTTTTGAATTTTTTTCTTAACATATTTTTTGTTGTTTTTTTTTTTTTGTTAAATTTACATTAGAATACTTTGAAGTGGTAAAGAAGTCTTTGGCTGTTTATAAACCCAAGTGTGTGGAAGCCATAGGTAGAGGTTTCTTGCAAATTGAAATTCTGTTGAAACACATGATTGGACAACGCAATTTGGACGAGAAATTCAAGTATTCCTTTTGCATATGTAAAAACATTTTTCTTTTTTCCTTTTATATTTCAATTGCATTTAAGGACTTGTTCACCTATTAAGGATTCCATCAATAATGATCTGGATATAGCCAATTTGTTTGAGAATATTGCCAGCAACTTTGCCGGTGTCGTACAGTATAATAAAGACAATACTAATCATTCCAAAGTTAATATAGATGACGTCTGTGATATTATGGTGAATACAAGCATTGGTCCACCTGTAAACCGTTTAGCGGCTGTTAATGCATTATTAATGAAACAATCTGAAGAAAATTGTTTAGATTACAAATACGACAAAATGATTGAAACGATGCAAGAGATTTCTTGGGATTCTGTTTCGGCTAAGGGCATGCGTCAGTGGACTTGGCAGACTTGCAATGAGTTCGGTTTCTATCAAACTGCTGAAAATAAGACTGATACATTTGGTGATCGTTTTAAAGTAGATTTCTTCATCAAACAATGCATGGATATCTATGGAGATAGGTTACTATTAATGAATTTCATCTAAACTTGTATTTATGATATTTTTCCTGTTTTCAGCATGAATTATGAATATTTAAATCGAGTTGTTGGAAGAACGAACAAATTTTATGGCGGCTTAAAGCCTTCTACTACGAATGTGTTATACGTGCATGGTTCTACAGATCCTTGGCATTCTTTAGGTTTGATCAATACTCAAAATCGTAAAACTCCTACAATTTACATAGAAGGTATATCTTTTACGGGATATTACAAATGTGCATGAAAAAGACCTTTACTACTGCTTTATAGGTACTGCTCATTGCGCTGATATGTACGAACCGGTTACAACTGATCCACAGCAGCTCATAGCAGCTCGTCACCAAATTTTACGTTATTTGGCTACGTTGTTAACTGATTACAAAGCGACTTAATTTAATGTAAACCAAATGTAAATAAAGCTTACGTCCTTCTGTCTAATTCATCTTATATCAGGAAGAGAACATTAAGCCTTTATTAGCAATTAACAATAGATTCGTTTTTCCGTTTCAGTCATAATACAATTCTATTGTCCAGGAACTAGATCCATAAAATCCATTCATAAGATCGAATCCAAAATAAAAATATATATATCCTCTTCAATAAAGAGCCCCATTTTAGAAATTGTGGATCAAATTAAAAGTTGAACCACTGACCGAAAATCGAATCATTAAAAAAAAAAGTTTGGATTGTCGTAGGAGAGGTGTATTAACAAGTTTTCAATAGCTATAAACAACAGTAGGAAGAACTCGGTTTATCAATAAATTTCCATAAATAATTTGCAATTTGTACTTGGAACACACATCTATCCATATGAAATTTATCACAAACCTCTAAATAAAAGATAAATTATTCCAATCTGTTAACTGTAGTTAATAAATTCTCTTAATGAGTAAAATGGGGAATTTATACATTTGAGCGAATTTTTTTGTATTTAACGAGAGAAGCTCATTTTACAGTGTTGCTATTTTTTGTCTATAACGAATTTTGGGCTTTTTAATTGCATCAGTGAAAATTGCGTCATTTTTTTAGAAGATTCTCGACTACCACTTTGTTTTCAAATTTGATCAGATGTTATTACCAGCAACTTGAGTAAATCGTTTTTAAATATTTGTTCAGCATCAAAGTAGTCTTTGAAAAAAATGGCAAAATTCTCTGGCGTTGATTCGTAAAAATCACAAAACTAAACTAAACTTGTAAATTGAATTGATGAAAATTTAAAAAAATTTATGGGTTTTTAAGGAAAAAACTCAAACATTTTAAAATAACAGTAAGAAAAAGCTTTTGTTGAAGAAAAGAATAATTTGTAAAGTGATCTCATCGGGTAAGAATAGTTCATGATATGTACACCTACTCAATCTTCTCCACAGTTACACGGCAGCGATAAGAAGAGAAGAAGTCTTTCCATTAATATTGCTATCTAGCACGAGAGAATCGCTATGTTGACCATGAGGATTGTTCGCATGGCCTACCAGCCAATCTTAAGGCCTATACACCCGATTAGACCCCTGACCATAAATCCATACAAGCAGTCCTTACGGACTGTGCTCTATGTAAGTCAACGCCATGCAAGTGATTCGAAAAAGCGTAAGTAACCATATATACATGAGCACTTACTATCATTCATTGCATTCAAATAATCATTTGCTTAGTATTGACTTGGAGTAGTCTCATTAATAAACGTTATGATTCATCATCGCCAGCTCCCAAAATAACAACTGATCCATCCCCATGTGTTACTACTCCAAAAGCAACAGCACCCTCATGCGCACCGTCTGATGCACCCTCTGCTACACCCCAGAAAGAAGATTCACAGTCCCCCTGTGAGTCGTCTTCTGCTCCGCCGCAGAAAGCTGCTTCTCCCCAACCGTTAACTGATTCATCATCATCATCCTCTTCATCTTCATCTTCATCTGCTACTTCAGATTCATCTATATCATCGCAGTGTCAACCAACATCATCAGCTTCTACATCTTCAACATCTTCAACATCCACTACATCATCTCCAAAAACATACTCAACTCCATCTACTGAAAAGAAATCTTCCACAGATTCTACAAAACCGCCAGACATTAAATTGCCGAGTCGTGAACAATTGGAGAAGTATTTCTTTCGCGCCACAGTTATAGTTTGGGACGCAAGCATCTACGTATATTCCGTGACGTCGAGATTGTTTGACCAATATGTGTTAAAGCAGCCAGTCTTGCAACAATATTGGACTTTGTTCAAGAAGAAAATGGATCAAGCGCGTCAGGAGATGAGATCGAAATAAACTACTAAGAGACTCATTATCAATTTCTGTACCTTTTTATTTCTCATCGAACAAGAAGTAATTTCGCACAAATAAATATGAAATGAATATGAACTATATCTGGTGTTTTATTTCGGCTATTAATTAATGTTAGGGTCTGCTGGAGAACAATCTATATCGAGATAGTGCATAACAGGTAATTCGAATTTTCGAGAAGGCTGTGACTTATTGTTATTAACTGGGAAGGTATGCTGTCTGATTGTCTTCTTAACTTATATTTTGATCTAAAGTGGTTCTTGTGCAAGATAAAAAAAATTCTGGCAGATGAATTCATTCATTCGCTTAAAAAAGTTAGAATTTAAAGCTTAAAAGAGGAGCAAAGTAAAATCATTCTGGTTCGAAATGTCAAGCAGCCGAAGCCATCTTGTTGTTGCACCCCCTCCTCGCAACAGTCTATTGGAATGCCGTTTGTTGTTAAACAGACAATTCTTTCTAAATCTTAACATTAGATCTGTACTACATACTATACCCGATTTCAGTTTTAAGCTTTTCCACATCGCTTAGGATGATAATATTTGAGCGGTAGCAATGACGATGCTATGGTTCTTTGATTTTTCATTTTAAGAAATTTTTTAATGGTTCGTATTTGGCGTGACGTCAACGACAATTAAAACCGTTTCTGCCAAGTGTACCGTTTTCAGTACATTTAATGCTGAAAAGCATTTGGCGTACAACCTCAACTTTTTTAGGATTCAAAAATTAATTAATGCTATTATCACTGTTTTATGCGATTCAATGGTATCTACAAAATTACTAAGCGCACTAAGCGGGAAGTTGTTTTTTCTTCAGCAAATTGAGCAAACAAGTGCGACAGCATTGTGCTGTGGAAACGGAAACTTACCTCTCCAAATAAGTTTTTCGAATAAGTGATTTTAATTGCTTCGAAGAAAGTTACAACGAATACAATAATAAAATAATCACTGCACGTTTTAGATCTTGCCATAGACATGTCAAAGATTTTTGGGTATTTTCAAGGTTTTTTGTTTTTGTGATCTAATTGGGTTCATGTTTAAATTTAGTTTATGGAAATAATACATTGTCAAAGATCTGCTCACGCAGGTTCCTGTCCTATCGGCATCACTAAGGTCTGCTACGTACAACACATGGGAGTAATTACGTATGAAAAATTCAGCTTTCGCTTTTGAGTATAACGGCGAAAGCCGACTTTCAACTATGTGACTAGGCCCCTGAACTTGCGAAACTTTATGGCAATTGTTGTAAAATAGACGGCAACCACGTTTTTCAAAAAGTATTTTTTTTATTTTTTTTAACCCTGTTGCCGTTTGTAATATCCAAAAGGAAGTCTCGGAGACCCTATTAATTATAATATATATATTCTTGATTAGGATGAAATTGTGAATTGGTTAAGTCATGCCTGTCCATCTGTATGGGGTATGTTGTTTACATTGTCATGGTCGCAAAAATGAAGATATCGACTTTAAATTTGATAGAAACATTTGAAGCTTTTGCACGCCGTTTGATAATGGAAATGTGCCAAGTTGGTCAGAGCAGGAGCGTAAACTGAACGCAACTGCATTTTTCTAAACAAAAATTCGTGGGTTTTTGTTCGTCGTATTTGTGGGAATTTGTAAAAGTTAGAAGGCTGAGGATTTTCACATATAATTTGTGAAAACTCTACTATTTAAATGCAAAAATTGGCCATGCCCACATAAATTTTTAAATCAATAAATTTTCTTTTTTTTTTTTCATTTTTTTGAAATTCTCTGCGTTTTAATCATAAGGTAAACAAGACAATGTGTTTAAAAGTATTTTGTACATTTGCCAAATTAACATATATTATTTACCTAAAAAGGCGTAAATTCTGAAATAAATATGGTGCCCATGGATCTATTGGGTTAACTTTTTTTTAATAATATCAGCGATATGGGTATCAAATAAAAGCACTTGAAGAGTAGAATGCGAGAAAGTAAGTGCGTTAATTCTAAATAAATTATGGTGGGCGTTACGGCGACGAAGTGGATCAAATTTTTCTTAAAAATTCCGTCTATATGGGTATCAAATAAAAGCACTTGAAGAATAGAATGCGACAAAGAACGTATGTACGTCACAAATTAATTGCCTTGGACATCAACGATATGGTGGATAAATGTTTCCTTAGCAATATCTTTGAGATTAATTGTATCCGATTTAGCTTTTTTTTGACAATAAATAAAATCACGGGTCGTCAAACTTTCTAATGGCGCTGAGTATACGAGATTCGACTACAGCCGAATACAATACGCTTACTTGCTTAAACTATCAAATAGACTTGAGTAACTATAGCTTTCTCAAATGCCTTAATTTAGAATTTACAGGCATTTGCTTTTATTAAAATCCGAATTCATTTCTTTTAACATAAATTGAACAAAATATATTTATTCCATATAAAAAGTTTGGGGAAAAAAAAAAATAAAATAATAATAATAAATTAAACGCACATACATTTCCGGAATATTGCATATAAAAGAAAATAGATCGATTCAAAATATGAAGCTGCTTGCACGCTTATGGTTGAATTGACTGAATGATTGGTTAGAAGCATAACTTGTCATCCAATAAGAATATAAAAATAAAAAATAAAAAAAATGATAAGATCAGAGAAAAAAAAAAAAAAAAGAAAAAAAGGAAATAAAAGAGAGAGCTTAGGCGTTACACACAATTATATATTTAAAGAAATACTAACACATTCTTCTCTTTCGTTCAGCTTTTAAGTATAACTAATTATAATAAATTTATTAATATTACGTAAAAAAAAAAAAAAAAAAAAACAGAAATAGTCCATAGAAATTAGATAAATTTTATTCTTAAATAATAAATCTAAGGGGGAAAATTCATTTAAATTAATTGCTAAGTATTTTGAAAAGATATTCAATCGCAAAAGGATGGGCAATAAGCCACAGTAACATATCATCAATTTAGATACATGCATGTATTTGCACATATGTATAAAGAGTTCTTTTCATAAAATAGAAATTTGCTTTTATTTTTTTTTTGTTGTTTTTGTTGTTTTTTTTTTTATTTAAATAATAATTATACTTTGAGAACAAAAATTTCAACGTAAATGCATTTCTTCGACTATTTTTTTTTTGTTCGCTTACGTTCTCGCTCTGTTGAAAAAATATGTTGCTGTACGCAAATAAATGCTTTTCATATTGTTACGTATTTATGTATATATATGTATATATATATATATATATATATATATATATATATGTTGTTATCAAATACCAAAAAATCAAGAATAAAGCACAATAAACAGAAATTCATTGAAAGACAAATGAAATTCAACTTAAGCGCATTTGTATATATAAATGGAAATGTTTGTGTTGCGTTATGTATTGTTGTTGTTATTTCACGATTGCAATAATCATCATCAACCGTGCTCATAGAGGTTAAATGGTTTAGTGTGCGTATTCGTAATAAAAGTAAAAATTGGCTGTACATAATTACATGCACGTCAGTTAATATGTGGAATAAGTTGAATTTGCGAAGGAGATATAAAAAAAAAATAAAAAAAAAAAAAAAAATAAAAAGAAGAAATTCTAAAACAGACCACAATCTTTAAGATTGTTTTTAATGATGACATCGGTGACGGCATCGAAAACAAATTGTACGTTATTGGTATCGGTGGCACAGGTGAAATGCGTATAGATTTCCTTCTGATCTTTACGCTTATTAAGACTTTCAAATTTCATTCTTATATAACTGGCAGCTTCCTCAAAACTATTGGAACCTGTTCAAAAAAAAAAAAAAATTTAATTATTATTTTAATATTGTTATTAAAGTGAATGGTAACTTTTATTATCTATTAAATTATATTTTGAAAAATTAGTAAAAAAAAAAAAAAAACAACATACCTGTGTATTCTGGAAAACAAATGGTTAAAGGAGATCTTTTAATTTTCTCTTCGAACAAATCTTTTTTATTTAAGAATAATATAATCGATGTCTCCACAAACCATTTGGAATTACATATAGAATCGAACAGTTTCAAAGATTCAATCATACGATTCATTTCCTCATCTTCAGCCAACACCAAATCATAACCTAGAATTATATACATAAAACATACATAATGACGAGTTCATATCTTTGACAGAGTGAGTACCGAACGAATTTGAATCTTTAATACCCCGTAAAAACCGGTCAAGTAGACAGTAAAATTATTCGCTTCGAAAATAACTTGATCGATCGCGGACCGCGGAGTTGATTGTCGGAATCATTTCGAATAATATAGTGAAAATTCGAGGGTTGACATAAAAAAGATTGTACTGCGTGCGTACTGCGAGAGTGTGTTAGGTATTTGCAAAAATTTTAATCACTTTTTCCCTTGAAAAAAGCACTTATTATGGAACACTGGTACGATATATATTAATCGAATAATAGTTGCAATCACTTTCTAAAACATTTTACAATATTTTCGGCAACATGGCAATATCATTGGTTTTGGCAGCGATTCATCGATCACCGACCCATTTTTGCACTTCTTCAACTTTGCAGATCCGCTTGCCAGCCAAGTGATAAGCAGTTGTTGCCATATCTGGTGAGTACGGGGCGTGTGGCAGAACTTCCCATTCGAGCTGCAATAGTGTACCTTGGACAATTCTTGCAATATGTGCCCAAAAAAATGGGATTTTCCGTCAATTCGTGTCGCCATTTTTAAACCAATGAACCTAACATCGACAACTGGGATATGATGGAGCAGCCCAGTTGAGTTGTACGCCTCTGAACGCCTTTGAACTGGATGGCTTCGGGAGCAGATTTCTTCAAATAAACGTCAAAAACAAAGAATTTGGAAGAAGAAGAAGGGTTTTGAGCGCTCCATGATTAGCCTCTGCTTACGTTGAATAAATTAATATTGAATGGAAAATCGTTACTTTACGTAGAGGAAGATCAAAACCATCGAATTCAACCGTTATGTATACTGGTATTTCCCATTTCTTTATCATTTTTAGCTATAGAAGTCACTGATCAACATTTTTGCAAGCAGCTAATGCTAGCGTTTGCCTTAAAACGAAGATTCATTATACAAAGGAGCCATAAGATATTCTTACCTACGCACTGCGGGTAGTACGCGCTATAGTTTAAAAAAGTTTGCACATATTTTTGGCATATATGGATCTGTCTATGTATATGTATATATCATCTTTCTTTCTTTTACTTTTGTATTTCCTAGATTAGGCTTGGACGAGAATGCTATTTGCTTCACTGCGATATTATTTCTGGCACTTTGGTCCACCATCTGTGGATGCAAAGTAATGACTTGGAAACGTGTAGTGAATCAAATCAATCTTTTTAATTCCTTAACAAGTGGAAAGAATTTTCTTGCACTAGCGAAGAGGAAAGCATCTACGCCATTAAAATCAATTTGCCGACTAATACTAGTAATCATATAATAATCTTCTATATGAAAAGTTTATAAGATATTAACCGTGAAATCAATTCTCATCCTGTACACAAAGGTTTACCTCCATTTGTATGCTCCTTGTGGGCCAGGAATGATGGTGTGATGATCCGAAAACCAGATATGCGTAAAAGGAGCAAACCATTTATTTAGGAGAGTGGACGGAAGGCTTTTCGAAAAGTTAACTCAAACTTTTTTGAACGAAAAGTTAACTTTTTCATTTAAATACGAGCGAATCCGATAAAAGGCAATATTTCTTTTCAAATATGACCTTACGTTCCTCAATAGCTATTGACAAGTGAATTGATTGCCTTTTCTTTTTAATTTACCTCAAATGCATTATCGGCTGTACAGGCCGTCAAACTAATGATGACCAACACGAACGGTTCTGAACTCTTTGGCATTTTGAAATAATTTCAAAAATGATTTCTCTTTTGTTTTTTAATACTCAAATAAATGCTCGATAGGCTTCTCAAGAAAATGATTAAAAGACTATTACCGTGGGTTCCTCTCATTTAGTAGAATTCAAGAATTACCAGTCATATAAGAGGTGCTTTGCTGCCATCGAGAAATTAAGGGCAATCGAATACATTTCAAACCGAAACAAATAATAATAGAATGCCAGTCAACTACGTTTATTTCGTAGAAATATCGTATAGCGTTTTCCGAGGTTATGGTGGATTGCCCTATCACAGGTTTAGGAAGTAAAATAAGAAATTTTGTATACTAACCTGATAAAGCTACACAGAATATTATTGCTGTGACGCATTCAAAACAATGTATCCATTTTTTGCGTTCCGAACGTTGACCGCCAACATCAAACATTCTATATTCGTAAAGTGAATAAAAAAAGAAAAAAAAAAAAACATAATTTATTACTTTTTCTCTTGTGTAATGCGACAGTTGACAATTTTTATTGTACAACATAGTAATAGATGTGAAATAATCGGTTATGAAGGGATATCGTTACTCACTTAAAGTGTAAACCTTTGCATTTAAAATGCGTCTCAACAATGCCTGTGGTCTTGACACGCGTGCGCAATACATCCTGCTGTGTTGGTACGTAATTCGGTTGTGATATGCGATCCAATGAATTGAGATAATAAGCTGCCGAATCATTCAATTGATATTCGCGCGAACGTGAAAATGATTGCTGTACACCTGCATCAGTCCAGAGTTTTTTCATTAGCACCACCAATTCAGGTAGCAGGATGCCCTCTTCGGCCGCGGAGGCATATGTAAAAAATTGACGGGCAATTTCGGTTTTCGAAGGATCGGCAAAATCAATTTTCAAATGACCCATTGCACGTATGATAGCCATTAACGATTGAATGGTATTGCTATAAACTACGCGGCGATATTCTTCGCATTCATCCGGCGAATAACCGGATTCATGAATGATTTTCATTTGTTTAACTATAGTCGATTTGCCCGATTCGCCAGCCCCTGCAAGAAAGAGATTAGTAGAAAAGGAAACTATTTATGCAAGTTTCATAGGCAAAGCAGTTGACTTTAATCAACATAAGCATGGAGACAAGCGCACTCACCCATCTCATATACAAACACATATACGCACTTAATTGAATTTCGTTTCGCTCATTGCAAAATTTATCTTACAAGCTTGCAACTAAAGGACAGCGTACGTTTTAAAGAATTCTTCGAATGAGTGAAGGTAAGGAGGGAAATAAAATTTCTTCGATTTTTTCTTTCTTCATTTTCGCAAAACTTATTCACCCTTTCGTCGTTCATTAACTGCTACTATTACAACTACTTCCGATAAATAAATATATGCTCAACAGAAATTTTGGGAAAAGTGTTAATAAAATCTTGTTTTATCTTCTTGAATATCTCGACACATATAGAGCGAGCGATTTTGAAGATATATCTAATTGTTAGCAATGTGTGTTTATTTATTTATTGTCTGTACATCTTTGTAAATAAATTCACATAGTATAGATTTAAAGTTTGCCGGAAAACACTATTACACTTGAGTTTTGAACCCGCCGCCATTGAGTTGTTAGTCGCGATCCTACTTGGGCCTACTACGCTACTCATGCGTAGTAACTTGTATATATGATTCATGAAAATTATATTAAAAAAAAAAAAAAAAAATTAGTTTCCTATTCTCCATTGGCTTGCGAGCTTGATCCGAACAACTGATCTACGAATACTTATTTATTTATATACGAAGTTAAGCCTAATCGAATAATAGCAGACGCTTGCACTAAAACTTAGCTGACTTAGCTTTTATAAAGTTTATAAATAAGACCAGAAACCACAACAAGTAAGAAAATTACATTCACTAGTGATCGAACATCTTATACCCATCACCGTTATCCTAAAAGAGACTAAGCAAAAAAAAAAAAAAAATTGAATTTTCATACTACCTATATCCTATACCGTTGGATCGGCGCGGTTAATTTTTTCTATTTTCCGAATAAGAGTTGAATTTTATATGGTATATATGTTGTACTTTCTAAGTAACAAGCATATAGCGAAATGGAAACTAAAAGTATTGGAAGTTGTTGTTGGACAAGCATGTGGGCGTTGGGTCATTTTCAAATTCTTTTGCAATTTTGTAGCCGATGTCTTCATGTTTTCGAACGGATTCTACCATTTACCATAGCGACAGGACATTTGGGCAGACGGACAGATGGACATGCTTAAGTGCATTCCGAATTTGGAATTGATCAAGAATTTACATAGCTTGCCTCTAGCTATTATAACGTTATTGAAAAAAAAAAATGTAATTTTGATACCCTATAATATTGGGTAGGCGTGATCAATATTTTCCATTTTCATACAGATTCTACAGCATCATCTACACAATGTGCTTTCAAATTTGCGTACTTTTATCTGCTATAGTTTATGAGTAGTGAGCAAAAGTTTTTGTTCCTTTTGAAAAACAAAGTTGTTTCGCGGTTTACGTTCTGCTGTGGGCGTGTCCTTTGACTTATTTCGCCCATTTTCAATACCAACTTGCGTGCAAAAACTTTCAAAGTTTCTGCCAAATTTGAAGACGGTGTTTGCGGACAGACGGACATGCTAAAATCGATTTAGCATTGCATGCTGATCATGTATACATATATATATAGTTTTTCGGGCCTCTGATGCTTCCTTCTGGGCGTTGCCAATACGCCTCTCATCCTTCGGTGACGAGTATAAAAACAAAATCTATGGCCCGGACATACATGTACAATGCCTATTGCACATCTTTATCTTGCAGATAGCACAACTACAATCCCGCTTAAACATTGGAAAAAAACGAGAGACTTTCCTCTAAAAATCTCTACAAAAATTCTCTACACTCTGATATATTAGGTCGAGTCATAAATAATGTCCAATGCAGATAAGTAGGATCTATTGTCGTATCGTATTTATCCACTATAAGTCGCCGAAACAAAGAAGATTTTATTTCCACTATATATATGAGGATTTAGTTAGTCTTCTATCTCAACTGTTTTTTGTGATTCATCTTACATTCAACTGTTTTTCTGAACCTCTGAATTGAGAGTCAAACATTGCATATTCGACATGTAATGCTTTGGACGCTAGGGCGACACCTGCAAAAATATGCAACGTATACGGTAAAGGACTGATAATTGATCGGGCAGTTAAAAATTGGTTTGTAAAATTCCGGGCTGTCCTTCCGATTTTGACAACAACCTTTTAAAGGCACTATTGGAGCAAAATCTGTGCAATCCATCAACGCATACAGCATACAGCAAAAAGGGTGAACACTTTACAATCAATCGTTAAGTTAATATAGTTTTGTTATTCAATGAAAACAATATAAATGTCTGGTAAAAAAAAAAAAAAAAACCGAAGTTACGTCTGACTCCACCTAATATTATTATTAATTTAATCAGAAAAATAAATTTCAAAACTAAAGTCTTAAAGTGCTAGCATCTAAGGCTATCTATCGGTTTATACACTCTTATATGGTAAGGTATTGAGCTTTCAGATTTTTCTTCATATAATTTATACAATTTTTTCGCAAATCAATTAAAATGGAATTTTATTAAATTAGAAATTGCAAAAAAAAAAAAAAAAAAAAAAAAACACGATCACGAACGGAAATGCCATGTCAAAAAGACAGTAAACAACCAATTAAAGCCAAGACCTAAAATAAAAAGAAAAATTAATTTTTCTCTTTCAGCTTACAATCTAAAGAAAATGAAATGAAAAAATTATTTCATTAATAACCGAGCAAAGTAAAAAAAAAAATATATCTAAAGTAATTGGTACGAATGAATGCATACATATATACATATATATATTTGTATAGCTAATAGAAGCCTTTAAGGGGTGAAAACCACTGTAAACTTGAAAAAAAAAAAATTCTTTTTTACTATCATAACAGATGCGTTGGTTGGACTGTCCTCGAAAAAAATTCGTTATACCTTAAAAAAATTTTTTGGTTCAAATTTCGCGTTTTTCCCAGAATGACCCATTTGGCAACTGCAGAGTTACAAAAACCAACACCTATGTTAGTAACAATATATAAAAAGGATTATAAGGGTTTTCAACGCAGGTTTTTCATTTTTACATTCTTTCCTCAGGGACATCGGCAAACCTGATAGTAATCCGAAAAAAAAAAGAAAAAAAAAGACAAACAAATACTGGACTATGGTCCACCATTACATCACTTTGTTTAATAATTTAATTCGTGTAATGATAAATTCATACTAACGGGTTATAAGGGAAGTGATCAAATCATTCGATGGGGCAAAGCAGGCCAGTATATCAAATTTCATCAGAATATCTTAAAAATTGCGATTCCACAAGAATATCAAGCGGACAGACGGACGGACAAAAAGACAAACTTTAACCGATTTCAGAGCGGAAATTTTCATCGATATAATAAAAAAAAAGATGAGCCTATTTCTTCTTTTGGATCCATCCACACAAACTTAATATACCCTTCAATCATAAGTTGTATAGGGTATAGAAATGAAATATTCAAAACTATATTATTTGTCGCAAGTCAAATGAAAAAGTTAATAATATGCTTTCTTTGTAGCTGATATAACACAATAATAATAATAATAATAATCGTACAAAAATCATTTATCTAAATAAAAATTGAAAACCTAAAAAAAAATCGAAAGCCTTCAATGATGAGGTAATTGAATGACAAAAGAACGAGATAAATGGGAAAAAATGAGAATAGCAAAAAAAAAAAAAAAAAAAAAATTCAAATATATTTTTATGAATGAATGAATGAATTAATATGCGAAGAGAAGATGGGATGCATGTTAGAAATGAATTGTGCAGAAACAAGAAGAAATCAATTAATGAAATTAATTAAATTCATTTAGAAGAAATGAGCAAAAAATTCATTAGAAGCGAAACGTGGATGAATCAATGATTTGATATATTAGGCTAATTGAGAAGTTCATAAAGTTGTAGTTTAATTAAGTTATAAATAAGTTATATTCGCCTTCAAGCTGATCTTTAATATTCATTCACTCATTCGTTCATTCATTCATTCATTTATTCATTCACTTATTCATTCATTCATTCATTCATCTACAATGAATGCATAGAAGTCGTAACGTACTCGTAACTCGTTCATAATGGGCAGAAGGTAACAGAAGGTGTTGCAGGTGAAAACCTTATACACTATATTCAGTTTTGTAGATTAAGAGATTTTAAATTAATAAATACTCATTCATATCGATTGAATGTCTATCAATTCATCAATATTCTGACATTTTTCAAAAAAGAAAACTTTTTCCATTTTATAATCGATCAGCAATCACAGAAAGCAGCAATAGTGATATTGAACTTTTATGCTTGAATTACTTCCAAACTTTCATGCAGGCAGGTCATTCCCCCCGCTTGCAATTGTGATTTTGTTAAACGAACTTGCACCATTCGTCAACGTCGCCGTCTTTTCTAAAACTAAAACTTGACTAAAATTCATTGCGTTGTTATTTTTTTTATTTGCCGCTCGTTGCATTTCATTTGAAATGCCACCCCGCACATCACATCACTCGCAAGTAATACTTTTATAATGACTTGTCGAAATAAAGCGTTTTACTTGGAAATGGTCGAACAAACGTTCCGATCTGAAGCATTTCCGATGGCATCCGTCGCTATCGAGTCAAAATATGTCAAAGTATAAGAAATTTCATAGAAATATCTCAAAAATTGCAACTTGTAAGTTGAACACTAGAAACTGACTCTATCTAGACAGAGGAATATATATGCTTACTCTTAACAATGCAAATATGCGTCGGCATAATAGCTAACAGATGAGTCGGCTAGGTGTTGCCTATGACCGCATAAACTTAATATACCCTTGAGCCGTAAGTGGTGTAAGGTATGAAGATAAACGTGCTTAGAGCTCTTAAAAGTAAACTTAAGTGAACTAATAAAAGTAAGCATCTAATTAAAATTTTTTTTTTTTCATTTGCAACTTCAGCATTGAGAGTGAAAGT